GGTTTGTTTGTTTTGTTCTTTGAGACAGGGTCTTGTTCTCTTGCCTAGGCCAAAGTGCAGTGGTGCAAACTTGGCCCACTGCAGCCTCTAACCTCTGAGGCTCAAGCGATCCTCCCACGTCAGCCTCCCAAGTAGCTGGGACTACAGGTGTGTGCCAACATACCCAGCTAATTTATTTTTACATTTTTTTTTTTAAGGCAGGGTCTCACTGTGTTGCCCAGGCTGTTCTCAAACTCCTGGGCTCAAGCGATCCTCCCGCCTTGGCCTTTCAAAGTGCTGGGATTATAGGTGTAAGCCCCTTCACCTGGCCTATGGTTATGTTTTTAAAGAGTGCTTGCCTTTTAGAAATACACATTGCAGTATTTATAGATATAATGATGTCTGGGATTAGCTTCAAAATAATGCAATATTGGGGAGGAATATATGTAAAACAAATGATAAGTCATGAAACTAGCTGATGGGTAGATTGGGGTTCAGTTTACTGTTGTCTTTTCTTTATAAATGTTTGAATTTTCCATAATGAAAGATTTTTAAAACTTATAATGAAACCTATGTTGCCTATCAATTTTGGTTTATTTCAAGGTAGAAAACAAACTTACACACCAAATGTTTGTGATGGCTCTTATTTTTACTGTGTACTGTGTAAAATTTGTTCAAATACAGTTTCTTCACACATCTGAGAGAGAAACTTAAATACTGATCAGTTGAGTCTAAACTGAAATATGACTTTTACCCTAAAGTAAAGATTTAAGACTATTTTAGTCTAAATTCCGTTATGGACTACTTAATCTTTGCTGTTCATCTCTATTTTTAGAGTTTTACCCTCACCTGTTTTACATCTCAATTTTATGGACAAATGTAGAAAGAAAGACTTTCCGTTAATAATAAAATTTGTTTCCAGTTCCTACTTAGTGTTTTTTTTTTTTTTTTCTTTCTGTTTTATTTTCCTACCAGATATTTTGGGTTGAATAAATTATGAACCTCTACAGTTTTAATTCTAAATTTCTCTCTTATTTCCGTGAAACTGTAGAGTCATTGTTGATTTTTCAAAACCTGAATGATTGTTGCATCTAGTGTTGTTAGTATTCTGTGCTTTTAATTATGTTTCAAAAACAGATTTGCCTTTCCAATGATACTTGGGTTACACTGATGTTCAAATTATGTTACCTGGCCTGAATCCACACCATCTAGCATGGGGTAAATAAAACCTAGAAGTTTAATGAGTGGTAGGGAAGCTATTTTCAAACTTACAACATATCATGAAAAACAGATAATTACTATTCCTAGATACACTGTCACTGTACTTTTCTCTCATATTTCTTATACCTATAAATGTAACATCTTCTGGATTGAATCCTGATACTGTGACCATCAAGTATTTTTTGTAGGAAATATGTTATTGTCTAGGTATATTCATCAACCTTCAGAGCTAGGTTCTTATGTGTAACTCTAAAGTCGTGGAGTTTTTTTTTTTTTTTTGAGACGGAGTCTTGCTCTGTCGCCCAGGCTGGAGTGCAGTGGCCGGATCTCGGCTCACTGCAAGCTCCGCCTCCCGGGTTTACGCCATTCTCCTGCCTCAGCCTCCTGAGTAGCTGGGACTACAGGCGCCCGCCACCTCGCCCGGCTAGTTTTTTTTTTTACCTAAATACATTTCTCAGATTAATTTATAACCGATTAGGGAAGCGATTGAAAAGTGCTGCTGTTCTGTTAACTACCCAGATACATTGGCAGAGGTATTATTCCTCTATGCTTCTGTTTACTTTCCTGTTAATCTCTGAGTTGGACTGGATAATTTCCAAAGACTCAGCACAAAACTCTGATTTTCAGTTCTTTTTCCAACTTTTGAAATAGTTTTGAAAACTTTACTTCTTTTTCAGAGCTTTTCTGTATCTTTCTACCTTACTTATTTGATGCAATGGATTCTTCATCATTTAATGAACAAATTATAGTTTTCTAACAAAGAGAGTGCCATGAAACTTCACAAATTAGCACTTCAGCATTGTAGAGCAGAATCATAGTTGGTGTGCTGTTGCATAGATATGCTATGTCTGCATAATACACATTTTCAATTGATTTGATATTTGCTAAAAGGCAATTTAAATTACTACTTGCAATTGAATTCTTATAGATCTGTAGTTTTTAATCTTGAAAGTGGTTAGTATGCATTTAAATGAAACCAGGAATTGGTATATAGTGTGTTAAAAGAAAAACTTCAGCCGAATTAAATTTAATGAAGTTTAATTGAGCAATGAACGATTTGTGAATCGGGCAGCCTTCCGAGTCAGAGTAGGCTCAGAGACGCCAGCACAGCCACATGGTGGAAGATTTATAGACAGAAAAAGGAAAGTGACATACAGATAACAGAAGTGAGGTACAGAAACAGCTGGATTGGTCACAGGTTGGTGTTTGCCTTATTTGAACATGGGTTGAACAGTTGGCTACATTTGATTGGCCAAAACTCGATGATTGGCAGACATGTAGGCTACGGTCTGTTTACAGCACCACTTGTTATAGTTCACAATATACAGAGAAACTTTTAGGCTGAACTTAAAATATGTAAGGAGGCAGCTTCAGGCTAAAGTTGACTTAACAAGTATACTTTACATTTTTAGTTTTTAGGTATTAAATTATGGTTTATGGATACTCTTTGCAAAGTTAATGTAGCAGTTTTTAGTACTTTCTTTCATAATCAATTTTAGATTGTAACGGCTACACAGAATTTGGTTGTGCCAATGTGCGTAGAAAATTTCCAAAGAATAGGTGAGGAAGGGGACATGCAAAATTATTAAGTCAGGTGATCCAGATTTTTGGGAATGAAGCCTACTCAAAGACAGAGTTAAATTTATGTTATATAATGAGAAGGAGAGAAAATTTCACCTCTCAAAAGGATTATTCTGTTCTTAATGGCTAAGTTTCCCAAGAAATTTCTCTATACCAAGTTGTTTTATTAACTACTTATCTTTTATCCTGATTACTTTAATTTGGGATATTTGATTTTTAAAGGCTTTAGCAACTTTCTTTTGTTCCAAAATGTCATTTTAAAAGTTTTTGTGTTTCTTTCCTACTTCAGTGCATTTGACATCATTCTGCAGTTTCTTTGGCCTCTCTGACATATGCTTACACTTCAGGTTAATTTTTCTCTTCTTTAGAAGTTAATTATGCCACCCCTATTTGAACTATGATGCCTGGATAGGGAGATCATCACATTAAGCTTTATGCAAATATGTGAAGCAAGCTTGCTGAGATCCTTAGGTTGTTTACTGGCCCCCCAAAAAGAGGCTTCCTTGCTGCCACAGAAAAGGCAAAACAAAACAAAACAAACAAACAACAAAAACAAAAACCAAACGAAACCTGTGTGGGCAGTTGCAGAACGGAGTTGTAAGCAAAAGTCAAATGAACAGATGAAGGTAAAATGGGCCTTAATTTATTTAAAAAATTAGGACCAGAAAAAAAGATGCTTCACAGATCTCTAGCATAATTCACCGAAAACCTAGCTTGGACTAGAAAGTTGTAACTGTCCAAGGCACCAACAAAGTAGCAGAGTGAAGCATAAAATAGCGGAGGTCTCCAGAAAAGGGAGGCAGTAAACCATTATAATATGATGTAAAACAGCCACTATTGCTCTTAAAAGACTCATTAAGGAATATTTTTCTATTTCAGTAATGCTGTATGCCTTCGTGCTCTAGGTCGTCTTCCTCTCTACTCTCTCACGTTTTCTCAATTTTCAGTTCCAAAGCCACCTGATTTGCAATCTCATTATCTAAAGTATCATTACTCAAATACTATTATAATAATGGCTTCCATTCCTGAATATCTACTACTTGTCAGGCACTGTTCTTGGTGCTCTCATATGATCGCATCTTGATCACAAGATCAGTATTGTTATCCCTTCTTAATAGATGAGGCATTTAAGCAATCATTCACTTGGGGTTTCATAACTAGAAATTATGCAACATGAATTTGAACACAGCCTTTTCTACTTGGGTTTAGGACTTTTAAATTTCACTTTATTATAATGTACTCTTATGTCCTTCCTACGCTACTCTTTCAGGTTTATTCCTCCATAGAGTTAAATTAAAATACTGTTTTCTTTATCACTTCCTTATTCACAAATATAGATTCACTGTACTGTGTTTCCATAGTTGGAAATTCAGCATTCAAAGTTCTTTCCAGCCTTGCTCCACCTTTTCTTCTATCCCACTGTCCTGCTCCCAGCAGGCAGTATTTCATGGAATTGTCTTTTCCTTCTGATTAATAATTACCATGTTATACTGCACTCTTGAAATACCCATTGCCTCCTGTGCCTTCATATTTTTCTTTCTGTTTTGATTACCTTTTCCACTGATGATCCATGTTCCTCCTCTCCTAAAAATTATCGTTCAAACTCTGTGATTAAACCCAGTTGACTACTACTACTAGATGACATTCCCTCAGCCCTTATACATTGATTGTGTATTGTGTTGCTGTGGGTTTTCTCTGGGTTCTTGCAGTTGTGGTGTTTTACTGCATTATAAAGAAATACTTAGAAGTCTATATTTTAATCAGATGAAAAGCTGATAGTTTGGTTATATGTAATAACTGAAGTGTCGATATTTTACATCAAGAAAAAAGAATGCAATCTTTTTTTGAAAAAAATTAGTACTTTTACAAAATCACATTCTTATCCTAAAAACCAGCGGGCTAAAACAAAGCAAATCCCCATCCGCAGACAGGTACAGTGTAATTAAAAAACTATCATATTCACACATGTATGAAGTATATGAAGCATGTGTAAAATTTTGAAATGTGAATATGTTGAAGGATGTCATTTACCTCTGGGATATAATTATTTCCCCTTGCCTCACCCCTTTTTCATTCCCCACCAAAGGCTTAAGTTGCATGGCAAACACAGGCTTGTTCTAAAATCTGAAGCTGCCCTTGCCACGTCTTCGAGATTAGAATTTGAGAATGATTCTTGAAACTGTGTTAGTCAGTTTCAATCTTGTATTTTCCTTTTCCAGGTTTCCTGAAATGCAGTTTTTCCAACAAGAAAATGTGAGAAAAATTCTTACAGATGTTCTTTTCTGTTATGCCAGAGAAAACGAGCAGTTGCTTTATAAACAGGTAATGAAAATATCTTACAGGTGGCATCCATTGACTCAAAATTTTCTATACAGCTTGACAAATGATAGAGCAATAATGTAGCCTTTATTGTATCCAGAGTTGTATCATAATGCTAAAGCAATCAGAGAGCTGCTTGTCAGCTGCATGGTGAGAAAGGTAAGCTCATTGAAGCACATATGCTTCTTCCTCATTATAAGACATTCCACCAAATTGTCTCCTTTAAGGTGTTCAGTCTTTTCTTTCAACTTTTGGGAGTTTGTTTATAAACAGCATCTTTGAAGGCAATCTAGTAATAAAATTTCAGAATTGTATGTACAAATATTATTTTTCAGTATAGCATTTATAAATATATGACATATCATGTAAAAAATAATCAAGTATCCTATTACCCTTTAAAACTTATCAGTAATAGAACTTCAGAAAGTTTCTTTAAATTTTTTGAAATGTGTATTTAGTTCCTTTGTTACCCTGTTATTTGACTCATCTCATTACTAAAGCAAAGAAGATTATTGGGTTGTTTTATTTTATTGAAGTGTAAGTTATTTAATATATACAGATGTATTTACATTTTTTATTTAAGTTTATGGTGTTCTAATAAAAATACACACAGTTGGATATTTTTATGTATTTCTCCAAATGCAAATGAAGTGAGAATTCAAGCTAAATTCTTAAAATCTCCAATAATCAAAAGTTATAATGTATATCTAATTCAGGACCACTGAACTAAAATTTAATATAATAGAAAACACTTATGGTAAAAGCAATGTATTTAATTTGAAATAAACTAGATTTAAGGATGGTAAAACATGTCAGACTACAAATATACTAAATCATACATTTTTAATTATTGTATATACATAGAATATCCAAGGGAACTAATTTTATCTTATTTTTAACAGTAGTTATATTTTTCTGTATTAATTACCTGCTGACAATAACTTATTAGAATTGGAAATGAAAAATAAATTGCATTTATAAGGGCAACCAAAAGCTATAACATGTCTAGAAAAAAATTAACAATAAAGATACAAAAAATATATGAAGATAACTATAGGCCAGGTGCAGTGGCTTACACCTATAATCCCAGCACTTTGTAAGACTGAGGCAGGGTGATTGGCTGAGCCCAGGAGTTTGAGACCAGGCTGGGCAACATGTCGAAACCCCGTCTTTACAAAAAAAACCCCACAAAATTAGCTGGTCATGGTGGTGCACACGTATAGTCTCAGCTACTTGGGAGACTGAGGTGGGAGGATCCCTTGAGACCAGGAGTTTCAGGCTGCAGTGAGCTGTGATGATTCACTGCACTCTAGCCTGGGCGAAAGAGTGAGATCCTGTCTCAAAAAAAAAAAAAAAAAAAAAAGTTATTCAAGGATGTAAAGTAAGAATCGAATAAATAGAAAAATAGCATGTTTTTGGATGAGAAGACTTTAAGTAAAAATACTACTTCTTTATGTTTAAATGAATTATCATTCCAGTGATAACCTGAGTAAGATAACGTGTTTTTTAAAAAAACTGGATACAGTTATTTTCAATTTAGTGCCTAAAAACGTTACACTTATTTTAACAGAGATAATACAATTTAGGGATTAAAAGCACTGAGTGTAGACTCAAATTCCTTTGTTTGAATCTCAGCTCTCTCATTTACTAACTTCACAATCTTAGACAATTTACTTAACTTTTTTAATCTTTAGTTTTGTATCTGTCAGATGAGGGTAATAATAGTAATTGCTTTATAGAGTTAACATTTGGTGCCAAGCAAAGGTTCATGTTGGTAGTTGTGGTTGTTTTTATTATCATCATCATTATAATAATTATTAAATGTGTTGGAATTACCATAGAATTTGTGGGAAAGGGAGAATGGCAAATGTAGATATTAAAACTTCTATAAAGGTTCTGTGATCAAACTAATGTGACAGTATTATGTGGATTGATCATTGTTCAGTGAAACAGTTTAGAAACAGGTTCAGTTTATATGGGATCTGAATATGGTAAAATAGAGAAAAGGATATTGTCTTGCTATATTTGACTTTCCATCTGCAAAAACCATTAAATTATACATTTATTGGAGAATAAATTCCAGATGGTGTAAAAACATAAATATAAAAACTAAAAGTGTATAAAAATACTAGAAGAAGATTTGGGATAAATTTTTTTGTAATCTCAGACTAGGAAAGGGACTCGCAAGCAAGGTAGACTAATCTACAAGTCAGATAAAAAGTCAAAAGACTAAAAACAAACCGAAAAGGAGACTGGGGGAAAAAATCTGTTAGTGTAGAATTCTTTTGGAAGCAAATGGCAGAAGACCCCATTTAAAATGACTTTAAACTGTAAGGAGATTGTTAACACACTTCCCATGAAGTGTGGGAGTAAGTGGTTCTGCTGCATTAGTTCATTAGCTTAAAATCTCTATCAAAAATTCCAGGATTTTGTTTTTCTGCTCTCTTTTCATTATATTGGCTTTTTGTTGTGAACCTTATCTCTTTGTTATTTTCTCTTTTCCTTTAAATACTTGAAAATACCCCACAGTAAAAGACTTGATGATAGTGAATCAAATCAGGATAAAATTATTCCAAATTACTCATCTGTTTTCCAATTTTTTTAGAGAAAGAAAAAATAGATTAAGGAGTCTTATAATAATGGAAACGAGTTCTATGGACAAGGAATAAAAACATAATAACTGTACACTCCATCTACCATTTGTGATGTATGTGGCCCACTGCGTTTGTATGGAAGACTACACAGTCATATGGAAGATACGTTCTTGATCCATTAAGACAAAAATCTATCAGTTGCTGAAATAGAAAGTACTATTAGCTTACTCCTGGGTGTCATTTTAAAATATTTAATTACTCCTTGTATGTGTTTAAAATCCTATAGATTTTTTACAGAAAAATAATACCTTGCTGTAGAAGGACTGAATATTTAGCCAGATCAAATTTAAGAACCTTAAGTTTCATCACAAGCTGTTAAAGCTATTATTTTGTACTAGGTGACACCCCGTTTAACATCGACCATATTGTTAATAGTTATGGGATTTTATTGAATTAATGAGACTGTTATCATGTAGTAGAATGTCTTGCTGAGTTAATTGAAATTGCCGAGATTATATAAATGGTATTAATGAACTTTGACTGCCTGATGGCTTAGCTTTAGTAAAGACTGCTTGGTGGGCTAAATGAACACAGGCAGATAAAAGAACAGGTTCAATTTTGTGAACCTACAGGCTGTTGATGAAGAAAACTTTGTTACCTTTATTTTCAACTGGCATGAGTTTGGAGTGCAGTGACTAGTAACAATCCAGCAGGGATAAAAGCTTTTTTTTTTTTTTTTTTGAGACGGAGTCTCGCTCTGTTGCCCGGGCTGGAGTGCAGTGGCCGGATCTCAGCTCACTGCAAGCTCCGCCTCCCGGGTTTACGCCATTCTCCTGCCTCAGCCTCTGGAGTAGCAGGCCCGGCTATTTTTTTGTATATTTTAGTAGAGACGGGGTTTCACCGTGTTAGCCAGGATGGACTCGATCTCCTGACCTCGTGATCCGCCTGTCTAGGCCTCCCAAAGTGCTGGGATTACAGGCTTGAGCCACCGCGCCCGGCCCGGGATAAAAGCTTTTAAGCAGGCAGAAATGCTGACAGTATAGGTGGAAGCAAAATACACATTTTGGGAACCAGAAGCATACTGTCAATACATTATTTTTTATTATGCTTTGTCAAATTTAAAGCATACTGAATTCATGATTATTATTTCTGGTATTTCTCTTTTCTTTTAAAGATGTCTATGTAATTGCCATTTGTAATTGTTAAACAGGTTTTACTAGTCTTGAATTGATAGCAAAACCAAAAATGTCTTTTAAGTATTTGAAAAAAAAAAATCCCTAGTTTAGATGAAAGTCAAAACTGAACTTGTAAAATAGTTTTTAATGGTATTCAAAAGACTCTTAACTTCCATTCTTCCAAGAACACCTTTATTTATTGATTTGAAATATGATTTAATGCTATTTTCATATTGTAGTTCAGCTTTTTTCACTCTGTGGATATATTAAGTGGTAGATATTGCATTCATTCAGTCAATAGGTAGTGAGTACACTTTCTTTGTGCTGGGCCTGTGGTGTAGGATCTGGATGTGTATACACACACACACACACACACAATCACAGTTGTACAGTGTCCATTCTTACCTGCAGTACAGTACAGTACAGTAGTTCACGCTTTCCTGCAGTTTCACTTTCTGTGGTTTCAGTTACCTGCAGCCAGCCATCATCCAAAAACAGTTGAGTACAGTATAATAAAATATTTTGAGAGAGAGAGAGACCACAATCACATAATATTGTTACACTGTATTGTTACAGTTGTTCTATTTTTATTAATTGTTGTTAATCTTAGTGTGCCTAATTTATAATCTTTAATTTAAATCATAATTTTAATACCTTTGTCATACACGTGTATATATAAAAACAGCATGGTATATGTAGTTTTCAGTACTATTTACAGTTTTAGGCATCTACTGTAAGGTCTTAGAATATATCTCCTGCACATAATGGAGGACTACTGTATAGTCGTTTCTGTGATTATTTTATTATTTTGTTCCTTTCTCTCTAGACTACAAGCTCCATCAATGTTAGGAACTTGCCCACTTCATTCACTTTTGTGTCCACAGCAAATACAGGCATTTAATAGTTTTTGCAATAGGTGAATGATGAACGATGTTTGAACAAATGGAGAATCTAGACAGAGTGGTGTCACAGAAACTAGAGGGAAGAGAATATTTGAAGTTGGGAAGATTCATTTAGACAAGAAGTCTTTCTTATTAAACTAGCCATAATTTGTTTTAAGATATATTTTGGGGGAAAAGCACTCTTTCTTTCAAAAAGGCATCCCACTGACAGCAACGAAAGAAAACTTCATGATAAACCTAGCAAGCACTATGCAGTTCTGCAGATTTTTGGATTAGAAAATCTGATGTTCTTAAAAATACTCTCCTCAAATTAATTTCAATGTAATGCCAATAAAGATTTTAATGTTTTGTTTACCATTTTGTTTAACCTAAATGGTAATGACACAACCTGTAATAAAAAAATAGAATCATCAAGATAAGTTTGAAAAAAGAAAAGGAGTAGAAAATAGGAAATATTCTAATATTTTAAAGGTCGAATCTTTATAATGGTACAATTATTGTTAATAATATACAAACCAATGTACTAGAGTAAAATCCTGGAAAAAATGTAAGCTAAATATTTATTTTTTACTAAATATGGCATTTCAGAACTCTGGGGAGAAGATGAGTTATTCAGCTTATCGAGTAGATTGAATTTATTGAAGATGAAATGATTAATCAGTAAATTGGTATCATTCTTTTGGAGAAAAACATACTTATTTTCATGGCAAAAACTAAACTTATATCAGTTGAGCGAAGAATTAACTGGAAAAAAAAAAAAAAAAGGCAACTGTATTCTTCCCTAATCTCAACATGAGGAAGGTCTTATAGACATGAAGGCAGAATAGAAACCATGAAGAATTATTTATTGTATTGACCAAAGTGTATAATGTCAGTATAATATATCATAGAAATCAAAAGTAAGACTCATGATAAGCATGGTGAAATGTTTGTAACAACAATTAGAAAGGGTTAATATCTTTAATTGGTATAGAACTATTAGACATCACCAAGGAAAGGAAACACTTCATCAGGAGAAAAAGGGCAATTTATTAAGTAAAAACGTTCAATAAAATTTTGGGGGTTCAATCTTGCTAGCATTTAAATAAACCATAACAATTTAACTGTGAAACTTGACAGAATTTTTCAAAACACTCTGAATATAGGTGAGGATGTGTGAGAGAGTGATTTTTATATTCTTCACTGAGAGAATTCTTTCTGGAGACAGCTTAATGGTATACATCCTACCAGATGTTAACACATATTTTTACCCCTTTACCCTGAAATTCTACTTCCAAGGACTTTAATTCTGGAGAAATCATGAGAAATAGGCAGAAAAAGATCTCAAGGATATCTACTGAAGTTTTAAATTTATTTCTTAAGTTTTGTTTTTTGGCTGGCCTCCCTCTCTCCCTTTATCATTGTTTTTATTTTTTTTTTTGCTTTTCCATACTTTTCTGTTGATATAATACTAATTATTTTAATGATTAAAATTACAGCACTTTCTTTTTGGAGTAACTTGAGACCATTCCAAGAGAATAAACCCCTCATGATTTTTAAAGCAGAGTTAGTAATGCTCAATGTCATTTTTCTAGGTGTCTAACATGTTATCTGAAAGATTTTTTTCAAGGTTTGTTTAATAAGGAGTTGGTTACCTATAAAGATTGAAATGATACGTGGTAATTTACTAAATCACAAGTAAATTGTCAATGCATCATAAATTGTTTTGTAAAAATATAACTAAATATTTTTAATTCGAAGTAGTGATAACATATATGAAGTCTGAAAAAGTTAACTTGTATATTATCTTTATGATAACAATTGACTTTCTAAGAATAGTATACTACTACTAGACTGTGCAGAGGACTATGTGACTCTGTTCATCCAATATAGGAAGCCATCTCTAATTCTACTAGCAAAAGATTTATCTCCTTTCTGCTTTCATATTTCCTCTAAAAGTAGTATTTTGTCTTGTCTTTTTATAAAAGAGCATCCCTAGTTACTAAGCAAAAGGAAAGTAATAATTTGCTCGCTTTAACAGACAGGAAAAATAATAATCTATTTTAACTTGCTGAAATGTTTTTTGATGCTTAAGGGGGAAAGAAATCTCAATTAGCAAAGGTAGTCATAATGTGGAATACCGTATGTCACCAGAATAATGGATCAGTAATAGATTTTTATAGTACCCTTTTAAGGGCAGCTTAGTAACTAATATTATGCCTTTTTGTTTCTATACCTATTTTTGGTGAAAACCAATATAAGGAGGAAGATAGTACTGGTGAAATCATTAAATAAATTGAAATTAACCTTGTAGTTGAAGTAGACAGGAAAAAATTATGGTAGTTTTCTGATTAAACATTTTAAATCCTATTTTAACAAGTTTATTTTCTGTCATACCTTCTTAAGGTTGTTTCTTTTATTATCCAACATTTCTAGCTGGCTGACTTCAGTGCTTCCTAAATCTACAGACATCCTAATTTTGAGCCATTATATAATGAAAACATTGGATATAATTTCCTTAGGTCTACAGTTCTTAGTTGCCCTTCTTACTGCAGATCTTAACACTGTAGCTCATGATTATAATTTGCATAAATGAAATTCATATTTATGAGTACAGATCTTGAAGCAACTGACAGGTGCAAGGTTATCTACCATGCCAATTTATTGTTTGTCATGTCATTTAAAAGAGAACTGCTCTCCATGTTTTAAAGAAGAATATCTGCAGTGGTTGAATTCGAATCAAATTCTAAAAGTAGATAAAAATCTCATCTTGTAGCTTTCCATATTTACGTGTTTCTATATTATACAGAAATTTTGCTAGTGGGAATTGGTTTGAAGAAGTATTTAACTGAGTTTATACTGTCCACTAATGGACCCTGAGTATCCATCTCTTTCATTTGTCTGGCTCTTTCATTTCAGGGTATGCACGAGTTGTTAGCACCTGTAGTCTTTGTCCTTCACTGTGACCACCAAGCTTTTCTACATGCCAGTGAGTCTGCACAGCCCAGGCAAGTTGTTGTTTATTTAAATATGAGCACCATCTGTTTTTTAGTCCCCACTGTAACCATTGTTTTTGAAACCTCAAAATCTTTTAAATGGAAGGTACTTACAAGTTGTATAAGTTGTAAACATTTGATTGTGTTTCTTGTGGTTAATTGTTAATCTACTTAATAGTTGTTAGGATAGTTTAGCTGTAGGGCAAATTTGGAATCATAAATGTCTTTGGAAATCTTGATTCTCAATCTAAAGGAAGACATGTAACTAATGGATCAAGAATGGAACATTTTTGTTGTAATCACAGAAGTTCTAATAATTGATATCCATATATATCATCCTCTAATGATCCATTTTTCACTCCAAGCTGAATAAGACTTTATATATGAGATTGTCTCTCCTCATCAGGTTTGACTTAGCTTAATTCATAAGTAAGGGAGCAGAGTCACCAAGAACCTCCCTCTGTAAATAAGCAAAATTGCTTCTCAAATTTTTTAGATATATTCATTTATTCTTTCCTGCATATAACTTTTGTAATTGGATTCAACTTAGGCTAAGTGTTAGAATTCAGTTTTCTAACTTAAGATACCCTGACTTTGGGGCCTTCAGAAAATAATTTTGGAAATGGAGGGGTCTAGGACTGTCAGCTTGTGTCCAGGAGGATTCATCAGGTCAGCCCATCTATATGCAGTAAACGGAAAACTCACAGATAACATTTCACATATCTGATTATAAGATCTTTATTAATCAAATATAGCCATACATTTTGCTGAGCATATATTCAGGCCTTTGTTAAATTAACTTTTGTCTACTAGTTTATAGATTAGTATTTTCAAGTTTCCTTGAAGCTTTGCTAATTTTACTGAGTTTTTATTTTTATCTTGACAAGAGTATAACCATATCTAACTTGCTTTCACTTCAGTTATTCTAAAATGTAATCATGAAGTTAGCATTAGGATCCTGTTTTAATGCCTTTTTTTTTTTTTGAGACGGAGTCTTGCTCTGTAGCTCTGCTGGAGTGCAGCAGCGCTATCTCAGCTCACTGCAATCTCCGCCTCCCAGGTCCAAGCGATTCTCCTGCCTCAGACTCCTGAGTAGCTGGGACTACAGGCAGGTACCACCTCGCCCAGCTAGTTTTTGTATTTTTAGTAGAGATGGGGTTTCACCATCTTGGCCAGGATGGTCTTGATATCTTGACCTCATGATCCGCCCGCCTCAGCGTCCCAAAGCATTGGGATTACAGGTGTGAGCCACCGTGCCTCGCCTGCCAGTTTTTTTTTTTTTTTTTAACATGTGAATGTATTCTTCAGACAGCAACTCTTTAAAAAATGTGCATGTAGAATATAATTTACAAGAAAAGATAGGTGATTGAAAATAGCTTTTAAATGTGTTGGACATGCTTCTTCAGCTGATTCAATCTGTTAAAAAATAAAATAAATGCTTAAGAGGTGTTGTCACTGATAAATTGATGTTAAAATGAAAATAAATCCAGTTAAAGAAAATAAATCAATGTTTTGATACTGCATATTTGACCAGTAACTATATTGTCACATTCTATATTTATTTGAATAATTAGATAGTTCATTGTGGCATAGACAAGGCAGCTGAATGTTTTTGACCTTTATAGAAAGAAAGCATATCATTTGTTAATGGCGTTGCTCTTTTCATAAAAAAAAAGACTAATTTTTTTCATTTACACATTATGTGAAAGTTGTCTTACATAGAATAAGGCAAACTCTGCATCTTTAATTATTCAAAAATTACACATTTTGATTGCTTGTATTGCTTTTTTAAGTGAGGAAATGAAAACCCTCTTGAACCCTGAGTATCTGGAACATGATGCCTAGTAAGTACAAAAACTTTCTTTGTTTTATTTTGTTATACCATGATTAATTTAATGAAAGTTAAACCTAGCATTGTGTTATTTTATTTTATTTTTAGTGCAGTATTCTCACAACTTATGGAAACTGCTGAACCTTGGTTTTCAACTTTTGAGCATGATGGTCAGAAGGTAAATCTTATAGTACAGATTTTTTCAGTGTATGCGATGGAGCAAATGCTTTAAATAAATAACAACATGTAACCAAAGAATAGTATATAGCCCTTATTATTGCTGTAACCAAAATGAAATTACCTATGGAATAAGATTGAGCCTGGGGATTTAAGTATATTTCTAATCATATTGGCAGATACACAAAGGCAATGTGAAAATTTCATATAAATACATTTTTATATGTGTGTGTATGAATCAAGCAGCATAATAAGTGCTTAGTTACAAAATTATTATAATCTTTCTCTCACTACCCTAGTGAGTTGGTATACAAATTATTACTGAAGTGCATAGGTAAAACCTATATCAAATAGGTTGTTTTGCTTTTACCACTGCGTTGCTATTGAATTCATACATTTAGCATCAATATTCCTTACTCTTACTCTTATTCTTATTCTTTAACTATATTTTTAATTTTTATATAATTCACATAGCCCAACATGTACCTATTAAACTCTTAATGTTTTTTAGTATATTTACAGGATTGGGCAAACATCGCTGCTATCTAATTCCAAAACGTTTTTTTAATCACCTAAAAAAATACTGCATGTCCATTAACAGTCACTCTCCATTTGCCTATTCCTACAGGCCCTGACATCACTAATATACTTTCTGTCTCTATGGACTTGCTGACTCTGGATATTTCATATAAGTGGAATCATATAATATACTGCCATTTATGATTGACTCCTTTCACTTAGCATAATGTTTTCAGTGTTCATTCATATTGTGGCATGTACCAGTATTTCTTTTTATGCCTGAATAATATTGCATTATATAGATATACCATATTTTGTTTATCCATACATCAGTCGATGAACATTTTGGTTATTTTCACTTTTGGCTATTGTGAATAACTTTGAACATTTATATACAAGCTTTGTATGAACATGTGTTCACTTACCTTGTTATATACCTAGAAGTGGAATTGCTGAGTTAACTATATTTTTAAACTAACCCTTCTGCTATCTTAGTGATCATTATGGTTGTCGCATATTACACAATATTGAAAAAGTCACAAATTTTTCTGGCAATGGATACTGTTAAAGAATTTGGCATATTGTTTCCAGTATGGTTTATTTCCTTTATATTGGTATAATTGATTGCATTCTGGTTAGAAACCATTATTACTCAGTCACTTCATTCCATCTTTTAAAAAACGAAGTAGGTAATCGATGTTTTTCATGCCTTTGGCCAGCTCAGAGGTTGGCATTCTACTGCCCGTAGGTCAAATTTGGCCTGCCATCTGTTTTTATACATCTTATGAGTTAAGAATGGTTTTTACATTTTTAAATGGTTAGAAAACTGTCAAAAGAAGAATAGTATTTTGGAACATGTGAAAAGAATATGAAATTTAAGCTTCCATGCCCTTAAATAAAATGTTTTGGAACATTGTCATTCCTATTTGTTTACTTATTGTCTGTGGCTGCATGGTCCTTACAGTGGCAGAGTTGCAGCACAGACTGTATGACTTGTAAAGCCTAAAATATTTACCCTCTGGCTCTTTACAGGGAAAGTTTATTGACCCCTATACTAGGTGATAAAGTATTTCTTCATATACCAACATGTTATATTCTGAAAGCGTTGTTGAAGGTAAAAAGCTACTGTAAGCATATTTGGCAAACTACTTTATATTTTTGGAATAATAACCTTTTGTTCTTGGCAAGTTATATAATGAAGTCATAGACTTACATGAACATCAAAATTTTGAGCAGAGTATTTGAACACATTTAAATATTGGTCATTTCTTATAGTGGCCATTTTGTGTTTTATAACTGAGTCACGCCAGTTGAGAAACTCAGTGACTAAACTGTGAGGGTTATCAGTTCTTGATTTTACCTACTTGTACTGATATTACTGAGTCAGCTTCATAAAAGTGGCTTAGGCAAAACAAAGACATTCATTTTATCAAGGAACATAATAGATGTGACTTTTGAACAGTCATCTTAATTACTCGCAGGTATGAATGAGTAATATATTCCTAAAAAGTATTTCTAGTGAATCCCTTTTTCATCTTCCTATTTTAATTATTTCATGGTGCTCTCACCTTTTTTAAAGAATGAGTAGTAGGCAGATAATAAGACTTCTTGTTTAAACTGTTGTTGATAAAGGATGACATCCATATATTTATTACTTTCATATTTAAATAATACATGTTCAATTTTTCTGTTTTTAGGGGAAAGAAACACTGATGACTCCCATTCCCTTTGCTAGACCACAAGATTTAGGGCCAACAGTTGCTATTGTCACTAAAGTCAACCAGATCCAGGATCATCTACTGAAGAAGCATGATATTGAGCTTTACATGCACTTGAACAGACTAGAAATTGCACCACAGATATATGGGTTGTAAGTATTAAAGTTTTTTTGTTTGTTTGTTTGTTTTTTGAGACAGAGTCTCACTCTTTCACCCATGCCAGAGTGCAGTGATCTTGGCTTACTGCAAACTCTGCCCCCTGGGCTCAAGTGATCCTCCCACCTCAGCCTCCCAAGTAGCGGGTACCACAGACACATTCTACCAAGCCCAGCTAAGTTTTTGTATTTTTTATAGACAGGGTTTCACCATGTTAGCCAGACTCCCCTTGAACTCCTGAGCTTGCCTCTGCCTCCCAAAGTGCTGGGATTACAGATATGAGCCATTGCGCCCAGCCTAAAGTTTAAATTTCAACTACATCAAATTATATAGTAGTTTCTAATGATATGTAAATTTCTATGTGTCTCGGATCCTTAGAAGTAAAAATAAAAACTGTTACATCTGCATTTTATTTCACATCTCTTTTACGTGCCTATATGCATGCTCAGTGCTTATCACTTTCATGTATGTATGGTATCTCATCTAATACTCCCTGTAATACCAACCCTGTAAATTGGGTATTATTCCTTTATTAGAGATGAAGAAACTAAGGCTCAGATTTAGTTTACACATATTACACAGTGAAATCGTAACTCAAAGCCATAATTATTTAGGATTGGCTACATAATTTGCAGAGCCCAGTGCGAAAGAAAGAGGCAGGGCCCCTTTGAAGAAATTAGTAAGAATTTCAAGCTGGTAACAGCAGATCATTAAACCAAGCTTTCCAAGAAGTTGCATGAGTCATACATGCATGGAGCCAGCCCCAATCCTAACAATACTATAAAATGTTCATGTTCGTTCCATTATATCATGTGATCATCTTTTGCTTTACCCTTAGAGGTAGATTCCTGTGAGTAAGATAGATGCCTGTCTCAGGGACCATAATGTATTAATTTTCTTCAGCCACATAACTTCTGTAACATGTCATAGCAGAACAGGGAGATGGTCACTCCTTAGGGGTGCGTGTATACGTGTGTGTGTGTGTGTGTGTGTATTTTTTCAGTGACTTATAAGGTGTGTATGCAAATTAAAAAATAGTGATTTTAGTAAATATGAACTATCTATGTAGTGCTACAGACAAGGGTGCTTTATATTGAAATAGTAGAACATTTATATGTAGTGCTATGCAGTTTCTTGGTAGATATTTTATGTAAAGCTTGACTCTCCATTAGGTAGAACATGCAAAATTGAGACAATTTTTTATTGAGGTGTGCATAGTAGATGCTCAATAAATGTGAATTCATTATTTGAATTGCAGAGAATCTCAAACAAGTCACCCACAGCCAGAGCTGTTTATTTAACCCAGAAAAGAGAATAAATTAGTATTTTATTTATGTCCTCATTTTACACAGAGTCTTTCATGAGTAATAACTTTCAGCTGTTTTTCTTCTCTGGAAGCCCTGAACTATGACTGAAGAAGTCTGCTTTTCTGTTGTAATGCTGCATGTTTTCCTTTTTCTTACTTTAGCTTGACCTCATCATTGAGAGCTGCTTCATTATTCCCACTGGAAATGAGAAAATTGTGTGTGACATGTGGTATTGGGCAGCAGTGCAGGTTATTAATGAATTGCTACGTACATTTGAAAGTCTAACTAATACGTTTGTGATTATAGACATAAAAATTTATTCGAAATAACTAGTAACAAGGTCAGGAGTTAAATTTTATATTCCTCTCCACTGTGCAGTCAAATAATTGATATATCCAAATACAAAAGCACATTTTACACCCTCAAAAATTGCTTGCTAAGATCCAGAAATTGGTTTTAAACATTGGGGAAAGAAGTTGATGTTGAATGTGTTTATCATTTCTTTGAAATGCTTTATAATTTTTTGCCTTCTTGCCCAAACTGGTGCTTGATGTTGCAGTGGTGATGGCATGGGCTTGGGTGAAATAATTTATAACCAGAATGTTTCTGTTTCCTTTTCAGATGTTAGTTTCCTTCAGTTAGTTTCAGGGGCTAGTTTTATCTTTATCATAATAATTTGTAGAATTTCTTTGACATTTTGACCAGTACCTTCCCATTAAAATCCCATGATCCATGACATAATTACTCTTAATCTTTCAAACATTATCAGCAATACTGAAAATACCAGGTCTTGCAATAATCATAGCTGCCTCATTTAGCTCATTATTTTTAAATAGAATCTCATCTGTATTTTTTTTAAGTATGTATTTTTAAATCTTTGAAGAATAGATCACTCGTCTCAACTGGCCTTTACTACATTTTATAATGCAAGGATTTTATTTGCCTATTTCACATATTAATTTGGTTTTGTTATTACTATTTATGGAGCACATGAAAGGCCAAAGTGCTTGAATTTTCTTATATCCCTAAGCTGTAATGCCATCTGTACTACCCATCTGTGTATTTTCTATTAATGACTATTGGAAACTTTGGGTCAAAAAACAGTGTAAGCCAGGCATGGTGGCACTTGCCTGTAATCCCACCGTACTCAGGACTCTGAGGCAGGAGGATTGCTTGACCCAGGAGTTCACATCCAGCCTGGGCAACATAGCAAGACCCCCATCTCTAATAATAACAATAATAATACTGCAGTTAGAAGCATAGGCTCTGAAAAGAACAGCCTTTGTTTTTTCATCTGTGAAATGGAAATTAAAAATAATGGTACCTACTTCATAGGGTACCTGTGAGAATTAAATCATAACATACAAAAACATGTCGTGCTCTGTGTGTAGTATACATATAATGTATGTTTTGACATGCTTTTATTATCATTGTTTGTCATTATCATTACTTAATTAGAATGTCATGGCTACGTAAATATGATGTCCTGTGTGAATCATTAGTTAGCCCTTCCAACTCTGTCTTTGCCTTTTTTTTTCCTTTCACTAAAGCCTATGTATTTCTCTTACCTGCAAACTTATAACAGCCATCTTTTAGACCACTGTTTTCTAAAGTGATGCTATAGAAATTGGGAGTAAACTTTTAGAAATGGTCATATAGTTTGGCAGAATAATTTTATGTTCTAGAATTTAGTATTATAGTTTTGTATCTAATGGAAATGAAGTAAAATATCTTATTCTATATCACACAAATATCTTAATCTAAGTAATTGGTGTGCTACTGTTTATTCCTGTTGGAAGAAAGTTGTTAATTTAGTTTTACATTCAGAATTAATACTTGAAAATACAGTCAGTGGTTTGAGTAAATATCACCAAGGGTCAGATGTAAAATTATCTCTTTTTAGTTTATGAAACTGTTTTCTCAGATTACATAATAATTCATAATTGTGTCATCTAAAGTCATCTAAAGTGTACTTTTGCATGCCGGATATTTTGTAGAATTTTGATTTTCAAACAAAACAAATTTTTTGTGAAGTAAAATGTTCCAAGAAAATTATAAATTATAGTAAAAATAAAAAATAAAAATAAATAAAAGTAAAATATTAGAACTTATAGTAAAAATGTCAATAATGAATGAGCCAATAGCAAAATGTTACCATTACCAGCAGCTTGTATGGAAAGAGGAGTAAATCATAAATATATATTTATATGGGGGGAAAGTGTTAGCAAGATTACATTAAGCCCCATGTAGAGTCCAGATTTCTATTTTTAGTCAAAATTTTTAACAGTTGCATGGGACATAAAATTACTTAAATGTAGTCTGTATTATGGTTATAACTGTCACTAAATTTTGCAATTATTTTTAAAACCAGTTTTTCCAAGAGAATATTTGTTAATATCTCCTGAGGTATGGGAGATGTGCCATAAGTATGTACATTTGCTGCATTTTGCTAATAGATGTACTTTACAAAATTAGAATTCACGAATAGTACAAAAATATTACTTGCACTAAAATTGGGTAATCTCATTCTAAATTAGATAATCTTAGTATTATATAAATTGATGACATTTATTTTGACATGTGAGTAAGTCCACCTGAAATCTTGAATATTATATAACAGCTTGCTTATTTAATGCTGTTACTTATATATTTAACTGTATTATCTTCTGGATGATTAAAAATTTTTTGTTAGCAAATGTTAAATCAGTTTACTACCTGTGTTTTAGGTTAAATAAAATTAATCTGCAATTAAATGTTCAACTTAAGTGATTTTGTAAAAAATATATCCTAAAGATAATTTATGCTATGTTTTTCATTAATTTTATGAAAGTTCCTTCTGTTGCACATAGACTAAAGTTTCTCTTGCTATAATTTGAATAAATAATTAACATCTTTTTTCTCTTTTTTTTGAGAGGGGTGTCTTGCTCTATTGCCCAGGCTGGTGTGCAGTGGTGCAGTCTTGGCTCACTGCAGCTTCTCCCTCCTGGGTTCAAGCAATTATCCTGCCTCAACATCCTGAGTAGTTAGGATTATAGGCACCCACCACCACACCTGGATACTTTTGTATTTTCAGTAGAGATGGGTTTTCGCCACATTGGACAGGCAGGTCTCAAACTCCTGACCTTGAGTAATCTGCCCTCCTGGGCTTCCCAAAGTGCTGGGATTACAGGTGTGAGCCACTGCACCCGTCTTAATTAACATCTTGAGTTGTCTTTTGTTTGCCAATTATTGATTGGTGTTGCACTTAAAAAAATTAGGTTCTATAAACCTGTCAATACATACTGACCAATTTCCAAAGTAAAATATTGACTGCATCATTTCCAGCTTTCCAAGGTAATTTTTTAAGAGTCATTTTTGTGCTATTTTTTAGTATAAGCATAAGAATGCCCTGATATTTCATCACTTGGGGATTATTTTTGTGCAAAAGCCTCTAAAATATTTGTGTTACCATTCTATCACTGATGACACGTCATGTTGTGAGTTCAAAAAACTCTAAACTAAAGCAGATTTATATAGAGATTCAGTGCTACTACAATATTCTTATAAAGAGACTAAAATTTGAAGTTTAACAGTTTTAGTAGGCCAGAATAACTGTTTTATTATCACTTTTAAATGTATTGACTCTGTAAATTTTTTACTATATTTTATACTTTGATATAAATAGAGTACATAATAGGTATCTGTGGGAT